TTTTAATTTTTTATATTATTTTTTGTAATACAGTTTTTTGCTTTAATTTTTTAAAATACTATTTTCGCAGTTTTTTTAACTATACATATTCTTAAGATATTTCCAAAGTAAGATTAGTTTTGAAATCACTTATTTCGAATGATTTATTTCATCGCATTTACTATATTTGAGAATTCGTGTCTGATTTGTTATGATTAAAAACATTTACCTAGCTATTCAGTGAATATTCTATCCGCTTATTTCTACTCCATAATATGTAGCATTATTATAACTTCACAAAAACAGTGTTACAATGATATAGATAGGTATTAAGTTCAAATTTACATAATTTATATTCTTATATTTTTTTGTGGCAGAGAAGATAATAATTTATTAAAAATATGCTTGAATGGAGTGTCTTACCGCATCGATCAGATCCATTTTCAACCTGAAAAAGAGTTGTATATACAGTGACACTCAACATCCTAAGTTTAGAGGGATTTATAGAGTAAAAACCCAAATTATTGTCAAACGTTTTATTAAACATGCGATTTTTCATTTCTGTTTAAAAGAATCAAAATCCAATTTCGGTAGTGTAAAAAAAATTCATTAAACCGTAAAATAACTGATTTGGCAAAGTTGAAATCTGTTGGTAGCGTACATTTCCAAAGTATATAACTATCACAGTGTAGGAAATAGATCTTTTTTTTTATCAGTAAGTAGAAATCAATATAATTCTTTTTTTTAAATGCTTATTTCTAATCATAATTTTGTTTGTTTACGGAAAATGTTCTCACAAAGTCCAAACTCATTTCTCTATATTGCAATGTTTGACCTGCCATAGAAAGTAGGTGACTAAGTGTTGTTAAAATCTAATAAGCATCTTTCTAATCAAAACATTTTTTCATGAAATGTACGTTACTTTTTAGTCTTTTGTTCTATGATTGCAAAGACATTGACGTCGCGTACGGTGTTGGTTTCAAAAATTACTATTGCGGTGGCATTTGCGCTATTTTCATTATGTTAAAACAATTCACTATATATATCGTTCTGTCGGTAATTGTATACTAAATACATTTTAACAAAAATATTGATCAAAAAATTCCATTTATCAATTATACTAATTCAACTATTCAGTCAGTTACTTCAAAAATACATGTGGACCGGTAAATGTAACAGGAGCCTAGCACACGCAATGACAAAATGTTGATAAGTTCCATAAAACAAACAATACAAACAAGAAATTTAGCAGAAAAGTTCAAAATATGTTGTAAATGATGTAAATTCTTACAATTGTGATGTTCAATCCGAATGCCGTGAACGCGTTGTTCAAAATGCGAGAGAGAGATGTAGATAAGCGTCATCCGAAGAAATATGGAAGGAACATGACACGTCATCGGTAACTTAGAAAAATATTTTCATGAGCTAAATCAATTTGAAATTGCATCTCAATGATTCTTTTTGTGCGCAAGGAACTATATTTTAAATTAGACTGATATTTTGTGTCGGTATGTATGTTGGATTTCTGATTTTAAGCCGATTTATTGTGAGGATATTGAATAAGATTGTGTGTCACATAGTTTGGAAGTTTAATGTTACAAAGTTTTTAAGATTCGTAAAATGTCAAATTTTGTACTGCTGGGTGAAAAATTAATGATGAAAATTATTTTAAATTCTACAAAATGTTTCCATATTATTAGGGAAAATATCTCTGGACAGAATTTTAATTTAATTTTAAGTTTCTTAGCGTCTTAAATTTTAATAATAATTACCGTGTTTCGTATAAGTACTACATGTAGCTATATGTCACAATTAAATTTGACGACATTAACGTCACATTAAATGCTACACTCCAATAATTACTTTCATTTTTTTAAAAATTTATTTTTCTAATCTGGCACCAAACAAAATTTCATACAAAATGTGCAAAATTAAAACTTTATTTACATATGAAAATGAATTGATTCCATATAAAAGTGTTTGTTTTATAGGTTTTTCACAATGTCAACAATAAATGCCACACATTGTCCAAAAGTTATAAATCTAGCTATGTATAAATTTGGTGAAATAAATCATATGTGTAGTCATTAAAAATAGACATATTGAAAATTACAGGATTTTTATGAAATGTGCATCTCTTCAAAAAGTTGTTTGTATATTCCAAAATAATTTCAATAGAATGGTGACAAAATCCAAACAAAAAATAAATTTCAGCATGTTATGTCACAAACGTTAAAAATACTTGGCGTTTTGACGTTATTACGTTCACTTGCATAAAAAAAATAATTTAAGGCGTCAAAAGATTTTCTAAAACTTATTCTTAAGGCTGATTTGGATAAACAAAATCATACCAATAATGATTAATTTTAAGAACAATTTGACATCTGATATACACTGCATTAGTAAACATCCCTGTCAGGATCTGTTCAAAAGACTCATCACCCATAATTTGAATTTTAAAAAAATCGAGAAAAATGTCACAATCCAAAATTTATAAAATTTAGGATATGCTTTCAAATTTGAATTCCCTGACAACAAAGTGTCTCAACTTTATATTTGATGTTGACAAAGCTTTCAAAACGGGCAGTTTACATTCGGTAGTCCATGCAGTATTGAGCGGGGGGGGGGGGGGGGGGGGGGGGGGGGGGGGGTGTTGGAGGGTGTGATTTACATTAAGTATCAGATTTCTTTAGTAGCATATTTATAATTTCATTTTGTCATTAACCCGATAGCATCGTTTAAAATACTTCATCATGCTCGGCACACTTCGGCCGATTCATACATGTACCTCATCTAATTTGACATACATCTGATATAGTTTGAACACAGGAATCACCCAAGGTTTGCCGAATGGACCACATAATAATTTAAAAAAGATATGAGTATCAATACACCCCTCCCCCCCCCCCCCCCAACTCTAAAAAAAGAAAAGACATACATCAATATTTTGACATTTTTATTATGACGTGTAATGATATATATTTTCTATTTTTGTTAAATAAAACAACTTTTTAAGAAATACAAAACTTCGAAACTGCACCACATTGAAAATCCTTTTCAATGACAACTTTAAATGAGGGAAGGGGCGGGTTAATTCTCAGGTTCGTTTCCTATCTTTTTTTTTTTAACTGAATTATTTGAAATAGTTAGATCTACAACCAAAAAATACTCAGTATTAAAGGGCCTGTGTGAGGGTAGGGGTTGAAGATGGGTTGGGAATATGGACTTTGAATTAAAAATATAATTCAGTGCTGTATAAGCAACATATATACAATCACAAAATGTACTGAAAACAAAGAACAGGTTCTAGGACCTACTGATATAATATGGAATTGTTTTGAATTTATCACAATTAAGGTCAGACGACACATTCCTCAAATAAATGTTTTGTATATCTTGGTATTATATAAAATTATTCATATTTGTCATTCTCCTCTGATTTCTACATTGTTTTCAAAATGATTCATAAATATAAGTACACCAAAAATTGTGATATAGGCCATTCAGAAGATTACCCATAGGGGTCATATAAGAAATATGACCCTGTGGTATCTTGTCCAAATGCCTAGTAAGGTACCCTAATTTTTTGTGAGGAAACATGTATAGGTACCTAAACTTCAATAACAAATTCTTAGAAAATATTATATATTTTTGAGGAATGTTTCGTCTGACCTTAAATAAAACAAAGCATGTAAATTTAAAATGCGATGTCGAACAAGTTTTGTTATTTCTACGAAGTTTTTTTTTAAATGAGGCAAATCATGCTTATATTTTCCTCCCGCAATATGCATGCAAAAGGGCAAATAATTTAATTATACATGTGTTTTCAATGAACTGCAATATATATAATAGGAGGTATTACTGGGTTTTTATTTTTCCTTCATAAAAAGTGCTAGCAGAAGAGTAACGTCAGATTAATTTTCTAAACCTTCGCATAAAATTACGTCATTTTGACGATACCGAAACTGACACCAACACCGTGCACAACGTCACTGCATTTTGTTGGGCAAAATCTATATTCTTTTAATAAAAATTTACATATTTTCAATGTTTATTGTATAATATTTTTCTAGTGTAGCATACATGAATTATTTGTGGTGTGCAAAACATGCAGTATTTTTGGACAAAGTGCAAATGATACCACTATCACTAACAATAAATCTTATCCCGAGTATTCCATGGTTTTTAAATACAAAGTGGTCTTACTATACCTTGTTTTAATTTGATATTTATATTCTTAAATTTTGTGTAAAGCTACTGAAAAGCAAGCAATGCACCCAACTGGTAACACAATATTTTTCAAAGGTAAAATTTATGATAAAATTTCATAATTTAAAGAGAAAGTACTTGTAATGGTTGAATTATTGATAATTCTATAAAAATCTTTTTTTTTTCCCTTATAATCCATTTTATGAATGATGGCACTGGGTCTTTGTATCCTTTATTTACTTAGTTTGGGTGTTGTTCAGTTTTAAAAAAAGTATATAAATGTATATTATCTAGAGAGATAATTATTAGATAAAATTGTAATGGTTACAATTTATTTGACCAATTTGACTTAACTAATTAACCATTGCCAATCCCTAGATTGTATACATTTTTATTAATATTGATGCTTTGAAAAAAAAATCAGATGAAGATCACGACATACCCAAGGCAACACAGCTTCTTTTATTCCAAATGCTGTTGGTACGCTGCAAAAGATGAGAATTTACACACATTGTATATAAAAAAAAGTTTGAATCCTTATTTTACAATTAAAGAGATAGAAACTTATACTTTGATTTAATAATGGAAGTCTCAAATGTATATCCGGCAGCATCTAATTTCAACAAAGAGTTCAAGGTCATCCATTCACCGTTTCCTTCCCTGGTAATAATCAAATTCTCTGTATTCTTGGATCCTAAAGAGTAAATATTATCAAATAAATATTTAAATTCATTTCACATGTTTATTGCTAAAATTGGTATCATTGATTTTCAAGTACGATAACTGTAAGCATGATGACCTTGATAAACTATTGGCAAACTGATTTCAACGGGGCGACCGGTGGACTTTGTGATATATACATGAATAAATGGACAAATCTGTCTCTCGGGCAAGTCCATCTGAAAATAATGGCTTTATTTAGTTTTCATACATCATACAAGTGTAAGTATAAATTTAAAATTGATAGTGATTAATGAATGTCCCTGGCATACCCAGCAAATTTGACAGTGATTTCTTACATTTACATTTGATTGTGAAATAAAATTGTAATAAATATAGTTTAAAGAATCTGCTCTAATTGATCTAAATTACTCGAAGCCGCCTATGTCAATCTCAATAGTCCTCGCATAATGTCAAGGCCTCCTTTACTCCCGCCCTTTCGCTTGAACTTACCCTTCAGGGTAATGATTTGATCGAATTTGGATGTAGTGACACGGAAATTGTGCTTGTTGATTTAATTTTTATGTTATTCCTGCTCTGTTCAGTTGTATATCCGGGAAGAACCCACGTTTATTTTTGTATGCGCACTAGTACATTGTATTTCCCCATTTTTATGCTGTTCACAGACCCCCAGAGTAAGAATGTTAATGCAAAATGTCAATTCTATAATAATTATTGTATACGCTAAGTCTTAAAATTTGGCGTCACTTTATTTTTGCATATTATATTTGTTATAAACCATAAACAGGATAAATTGCATAAACTAATTTGGTGGCTTTTTATGAATTATCTGTCAAATTTATAGAATAATCAGTAAACTAAAGACGAATACATATATTTTTATGTTCCTCTGTTATTAATGCAAGACCGAAGCCAAGTCAACTGAGCTAGTAATAAAATAACAACAGTAGTGAAAGTGAAAAATGTCTTATTGAAGTAAGTGACGCAAAAACAAAAATATAAACATATTATAAGGGGGTCAGACAAGACTAGAAAAAACTTCGAAAGAATACAAAAATCTTTGGTATAACATTATGCAATCTGACCCCCTAAAATTAAGTATAGCATAATATATTTTGTTTTTGTAACATCTTACACTCAGGACAAAGGAGGCCAATAAACATCTGTAATCGTTATTGAAGAAAGTTTGTGCACATTGGATTTATAAAGGCCCTTTCACAATTGGCGCACGAGCACTTTACAAGACTTTGCGATCGGAAAATTTTAGCTACGCACGAGCTATCGCATACGTTGCACGATGTCTCGCATTCATTGCATGTGTTTTAGTGGTCGCATCAAGTCTCCTCAAAATAGTCAACATGCCCACTATTCAGACGCGACCAAATGCGATCAGAATTATCGCAATTCAACGCACGAAAATTAGTACGAACGTCTTACAACGTTTTATGTACTCGTAAGTGTGATGCACGATTTTTTTAAGATCGTAAGATGAATCGCAGCTGTCTTTGCGTGTGTTTTGCGACCATGAGACTGTTGCTCAACATGTCTCATGTAATCTTGCAACGTTTTACTATCATTGCTTGATTTATCACCTTCAATTGCCATGCTTTGCAACAGGCATATATACCGTGTATAATTATAAGCATCTTAACTATGTCAACTGAAGAGCGTCGGAAACGGGTGGTATATATACCCGGCCCTCTGACTTGCACGAACATATTCGTACTATGGAATGCATGAGCGCACGAGCACCGCACGTCCAATTGTATTGCCGCACGTTCAATCGTCCGATTACCTGATCAGTCGTGCAGTCCATTGCATTATCTTACAACACTCGCTTTCATTCTACAACAGTCGCAAATAGACGTAATATGTATCGCAAGATTTAATGCACAGCAGTCGCTTTAGATCGTGCAAATTTCGCACGAACACTTTTTTCATATGCGATTATTTTGGAACAGTTTACGTCTTATCCAAAATTATTCGGTCGCACGAATATTTTGTCGCTTCTGCTCGTGCGCCAATTGTGAAAGGGCCTTAAAGGCGAGACATCGTGCAACGTATGCGATAGCTCGTGCGAAGCTTAAATTTTCCGATCGCAAAGTCTTGTAAAGTGCTCGTGCGCCAATTGTGAAAGGGCCTTTAGGAAGATATTTAAATATGTCATCAAAATCTTCAATATTTTTTTTTAATTATCGCCTCTTGAAGGGGAACCGGGTATTATTTGATCAAACTAAAATCCCCTTCATCTAGGGGTGCTTGAAAATAAGATAGAACCCCATGGTTCTGGAGAACTAGTCGAAAATGTGATGAAATGTTAACAAACGGCGATGGATGGATGTGATCCTGAAAGATCATTTGAAAACGGTACTGACGGATGGCGGGCAATGCTTGCCTGAAAGTTTACATTTTATGCATGGGTGACGTACACGTTCATTAAGTGAACCATTCATGTAGAGCAAGACTATGTCATAATTTTATTGAAAAGGTCAACTTACCATTAAATAGAGCTCACAATTATCATCGACACAGTCTGGTGGAAATGACATACGTATTCTTTTGTCCGCCTGCATATAGATTGAACAACTTTCTTTTCTTATCTGATGTATTTCTATGTCCGGGAAATATGACAAGGCTTGTTCTTTGACAATTGTATTCCCCTGTCTTCCTGTCACAAAGCAGTGTGTTGGAAGTTTCGGAAGAACGCATGATAATTTTTCATTTCTCTAGAAAGAGTATATTGGAAAGGAAAAATGAAATATATTATCAATAACTATATTCTTTAGACAAGCCAATGCCAAAATACAGCATTCAAGGTTAGGAAATATTACTTAGCATTTGGAAATATGTTTATACATTATATAAATGATGCCTATCTATGAAGGTAACAATTGAATTTCAACTTGTACCCTCCAAAACAGGCGCACATTATAAATTCTATTTTACTGAGTGTATGATTGGTTTAGGATGTCAGCTAAGATAAAATTGTTGATCGTCTTTACGTACACATTTTAAAAAGTTTTCAAACTCCCTGCTCCTATTTTTTTCAATAAGAAATCTTTGAAAATGATTTACCGACTTTCTAATAATTTTTTTTATACTCAAAAAGTCCTTTATCGTCTAAAGCTTTGTTATTTTTTGCACTTGAGCTCGCAAGCTTGTTTTGTCTCTCGCTTGTTCCCAAATAAGCTACATCGAACGCCAGCTTTACTGACGTCAAGTTTATGCGGCTTCAAACGCACAACTGACGTTTTGAGAAGTATGCGCATGATTTGCAAGCACGTAGCATTTTATAATGTTACCCGTTGTCGAGCGTGTTGCTAAAGCTGTGAGTAACATTTTGGATCGTTAAATGCGTCTGAACCAATCAGGTTTTAGTACTTAACATGAAAGTATAATGAAAACCAGAAGTCTCTGTCGAGACTGTAGCTTACTGGTTTGTACTTATAATAAGGGAAGAGAGAGTAGCAGTTGGGACGTAAAACTTTACAAAAGCAATAAATAGAATAATGATCCTCTTTTTGCTTCAAGAATGCAATAAGACTACAACTGGAGGAGTAGCTTTTAATAAAATTTTACAGAATTTTTAATCTAAATTACTATGGCAACATCAATCATCAAAAAAACAAAACAAAACGCAAAACTGATAATTATGTATCTCAGTGTAGTCTAACCGCATGCCAAATTATATTATTATCAGATTAAAACTGTATTTGAAGTAGCATTTTGAAAGTAGTCTACTTGTGTACCATGTTATACTGAAATCAGACCAAAACTGTAGGAGGAGTAGCATTTTGAATGTTTTTTACAGAAATTTCTATTTTTACTTACCACAGCAAAGCCGTTCATCAAAATAAAAAACCGATACATAGAATTATGTAACTCAGTGTAGTCTACTTGTGTGCAAAGTTATATTGCAATCATACCAAAACTGCAGGAGGAGTAGCATTTTGAATGTTTTTCACAGAAATTTCTATTTTTAGTAACCGCAGCAACACCGTTCATCAAAATAAAAAACCGCTATATATAATTATTTATCTTAATGTAGTCTTCTTGTATGCCAAATTGTACTGAAATCTGACCAAAACTGTACGAGGAGTAGCATTTTGAATGTTTTTAAAAGAAATTTCTATTTTAAGTAACCACGGCAACACCGTTCAGTGAAATCAAAAACCGATACACAGAATTATGTAACTCAGTATAGTCTACTTGTGTGCAAAGTTATACTGAAATCAGACCAAAACTGTAGGAGTAGTAGCATTTTCAAAAAAATTGTTTACAGACAGACAGACGGACGGACGACGGACGCATTACTATCGCATAAATTCTTCTGGTCTCTGACCAGGAGAGCTACATTGTAAAAATAAGACATACCGGTCGAAGAGCATATCTATACCACGACTGCCTATCGTCAAAACTACAGATAAGATAATCTTTATCTGTTATGAACTCGTCTTCAAACTGCACAATCGTCTTGCTCTACAAAATAGACAAAACATTCCAGGCAACCTTTCTACTTGAAAAGACAAAAATAATGAGTGTACAGATCTGCAAATCTTTAGCTCGCTGATCTGAACACATTAGGATGAACGTCTTTTAATATATTTTATCTGTTAATACAATTTTCTCGGAGAGCTACAGTTTTGCAGTTTAATTGTACAATATTTAAATATTTTTTTTACTTGTTAAAATGAACATAAGTATAAAATAGTCCTATGAATAATCCTTTAAATATTATGAAAGTAGTCGTAGAAGAGAAGTTCATTCCTGTCAACGTTCTTCATACAGAAGTGACTGTCCTAAAAGTGATGCTTTGATAATTCAAGTGTGAATAACTGAATAGACTGAATTCATTTAATAAACATTTTAATATCAATTCTCTATAAAAATCAAAATTTTCAATAGGGGCGTGGACATGACACCTGTCTCCGGTTTAGCTGAATTTCACACCATTTACTACAATTGGCGTATCTTTAATAAATATGATGTTTTAAAGTCTAACTTTTCAATTTGGTTGCCATGGTAACAAGGATGTTATATTTAGAACCCTCCGATTAAGCAAATTTTGCTCTGTTTTAAATTAAATTAGTGCACATTCAATAAATTAGTGTAAATTCACATGAAAATTATATTCTCTGAGCTCATATTACTTAAATCTCAGAAATAAATTTCATTCAAGATATTTGAATGGATATTAAGCAAATTTTCATAGCAGCATTTAGGATGTTAGCAAATTGGCAATTTGCCAAATTTGTCTTTTTTAGTCATATTCATTGAAATTTTTCACCATTTTGACAACTGATATATTTGTAACCATGTTTCATTAAATAAACTATATATTCTAAGGTTTTACGAGAATAAAAAAAAATTATTGGGTAAATCAAAAACTTTCTAGAAATTATTGCATTGAAAATTGGCGATTTGCCAAAATTGACTTTTTTTTGTCATATTCAATGAAATTTTTTACCATTTTGACAACTGATATATTTATAACCATGTATCATTAAATAAAATGTATATATTCTAAGGTTTTATGAGAATAAAAAAAATTAATGGGTATATCAAAAACTTTCTAGAAATTACTGCATGAAAATTGGCGATTTGCCAAAATTGACTTTTTAAAGTCATATTCAATGAAATTTTTCACCATTTTGACAACTGATATATTTGTAACCATGTATCATTAAATTAACTATATATTCTAAGGTTTTATGAGAATAAAAAAAAATTATGGGTAAATCAAAAACTTTCTAGAAATTATTGCATGAAAATTGGCAATTTGCCAAAATTGCCTTTTTTTAGTCATATTCAATGAAATTTTTCCCCATTTTGACAACTGATATATTTGTAACCATGTATCATTAAATAAACTATATATTCAAAGGTTTTATGAGAATAAAAAAAATTCAGTAGGTAAATGTATAGCTTTCTAGAAATTATATGACACCCCCCCCTTCATTAATCACAAATAACAGAGAAGATCATCTAAGAACATGTTTTACCAAATTGAACAAATTGTTATGTTATACATGTATGAATATACGTCAAGTATTTATATTTCTTTTTAATAATTAAATAGAACTTCTGCAATTTACTAAGAGACAGGTAAATTAATATGTTGCCATGGAAACAAATCAGACTTCTAGTTACTTTATTCTAAATATGAAATAAAACAAGCAAATTCAAAGAATTGTTTCAAATCCCCGCACTAAAATATGTTCAAATTCAAAACAATTGTTTATTTTTTTGTTCTCTACACCTATAAAGTGGATAACTGATTTTTTTATGCATTTGTTTCTAATAATAGGCCCTGTCATATGATAATTTATTTAGAAATTATCTTCCATTTGATTTTTTAGAAATATTTGAAATATTTTATTTATTTTGTTAAAATCTCTGGCCAATATATATTTTTAAAAGCCCAAGGTCAAGATCAAAAGATCAAATTAATTTCTTATTCAAAGTTTTCTCACAAGGATTAAAATATTGAAATATGAACCAACAAACTGTTAAAAAGTTAAATCAATATAATTTTTATTTAAATTTACAAAATATTTAGACAAAAGAAAAACAAAAGCATTTTCTTGAGAAAAGCTGGTTGGATCCTCTTCAGTATCTGAAAAGATATACATATATGAAATAAAAAGTCTTAGTATCAAAAAAAAGAAATTGAAAAAAGTTGAAAAACTTATAAAAAATTTATAAACATCACAAAAATTCAGGTGTCAGAGTTGTTGGTATCCAATCAAAGGTCTTGGTACTGTTTTTTTTATATAAACTTCAAATAAACTCTACTTCACCGTATTAAACAATATGGCAAGGACATTGAAAGAAGTTTCATAAGTACGCCGTATTGTTTTTCAAGGTTTAAGCGAAAATCATGTTGGTATCAATGACAAAGACATGTACAAGTGAATTCATGGTATTGAGAAGGTAGATTTACTTACCGTTTTTTACCAAGGTTAAATTTTTTTAAATATACAATAAAACTCTAAGATGGTAAATGGTCAAAAGCGGTAAAAGTTATTGGTATAACCAAATGCACACTTCTTCTCACAAGTATTACATATGTAAACAGCTGACAATCAATGGTGATCAAACGTTTGGGTCATGCGAAATTTCACCGGGTATAACCATTTTTTAATGTATACAATCTCGAAGAACAGAGTAAAGTTGTTGTTATCCAATGAAATACTTGCCACAAACAATATAATGTGAATTTTTGGGGGTCCTGTATTTACTAAAAGCATATATGCTTATTGGAGAAATAAAATTTTGAGAATTTTTTGTAAAATGATGAATTAGCATATGGACAAGCCATGTTCATAATTTTTTGGTATCTAAAAAGGTCTTGTCACAAGGAATAACATGTGAAATAATTAAAGTCATAGCTCCACTGAATAAATTGACAAACAATTCATTTTTAAAGAAAGTATACGTACGGGCATACACTGTATTAATTGACAAATGTGATATAATGTACATTCCTTTCGCGAAAGCAGGGGACAACATGTTGTGTTATCCAACAATTCTTAACAATCTTTGTTGAGTGAATTTGAATCTGATTCATTTGATTTATTCAAAATATGTTTTTCAAAACAATGTTGTGATTTTTTTTTAAATGTATAATTTAAGTAAAAAGGCAAACTCATATTTAATAAATGATATGAAAGTATCTAATGAAAATATGAAAGTAAGTCAGATAATATAATGTCAAAACAAGTTGGCAAGACCATCTTGATTATGTTTTTTTTGCCCTCTCCCAACTCATGGTAAAATTATTAAGTCGGTGGGTACATGTAGGTTGAAAAATCTTTTTCCCTGAAAATTTCAAAATATTTGTTGATGAGATAAGATGGATAAAAAGAAAAAAAAACATCCTGTCTTGCAATGTAAAAAAAAAGTTTTGAATTTTAGTCAGTCTGTTGGGGGAAGGCAAACAAATTTTTTTAAATGGCCTTATATGTGGAATTAATTCTTATTATCACATTGCTTATCAGCATATTCAGATGATCAGTTATACTATTATGTTCTTTTAATGGGTATAAATATTTTTAACCATTTGACCTTGACCTCAGACATTGACTGACTTAAAAAAAACTTTAACCTTAACCAATAACCACAACTTTTGAAGTTGGACTAGATTTTCATATTTCACAGGTGTTTTCCTTGTGACAGGACCATTCTTGGGATACCTTGTGGGAGTCGTGGCATAAGTTGCCATGTATGGGGGAATCAGTGTTTCACAATTAATCTTGTTCTCAGTTTTGTTAAAATGTATTCATATTCTAAATCCATACATGACATACTGTGTGAAGCCTGCCAGTATAAAACTATGAGATTTGTGAGCCCATGTGGGGGTATATAATAAATCAGTATACCATCTCTCCTGCAGAATTGGGATATAAAAAAGGGAAGAAACTGCTTCTTTTCATAATACTGCTTTTATAGAAAAGAAATAAACATGACATTGGAAATGTATGCTCCACTTAAACAGTGACATTTTTTTGAAAATACAAGAAATCAGTTTAGAATCAATTTAGAATACACATATTCTCTAAGGAAAACAGATGATCTGCTTAAAAAAAAATTCCGCTAAAATTTGTTCCTTCATATATTCTCTCATTTGATGTCAGTCTCGTCTCCTCGAATTACATCAAATTTCTTTATGTCCTTTTGTATAAGTTTGAAAAGTAGCTAAGCCTTGCAATTTGCTGTCATTTTAGTAATGATCTTTAGAAAACCCTCTCTATATCCATAATGGACCAGCCATTCTTCTTTTCTTTCTGTTCTTATTCCTACTTTCTATTTTTCATGTAAAAATTACTTCCTGTCCACTGTGACTTTTTTTAGGGGGGGGGGGGGGGCTGTGTGTCCTCTGCTCTGGTCATTTCTATCTGTTCACATGAAAATAAAAAAAAATACCATTAATTTTTGGTCAGCTTGGATAAAAATTAATTAAAAATTATTTTAAAAACTTAAAACTAGAATCTTAAAATTTCGCTATATATATAACATATACATTTTCAACCTCTAAACGTTATCATCTCCCTTGATGCATTGTCATGGCAATCACCATGAATACATGTAACTTAATAAACAATACATGTACCTGTCTGGTCCCCTTGCTAAAGGATCTGTAATCCTGAGAATCTTCATTAGGAAAATCTTGCAAGGGCTGCAAATATCTGTGAATTTAAATTATTTTTTAATTTGAAAGTTTGGGTTAAAATCCTAAACATCAAATATATATTACATGTACCTGATATTTAAATGTTATCCTGAAAATTTTCTGAATCATGAGGAATGATTGATAAAGGAGGGGAATCAATGTTGTCATCAAGCATTTTTTTTTCAATTTACACAGTTAAAGCTTTTCTCGGTTTGAACAAATTGCCGGAGATCTAGAGTAGAAATGAATTTGACAACAATTAATTTTTAAAGTGGTAAATGAAATGTTATTATATCTTGAACTAATTATAATAAAAACATACATGTTTTATTGATACTACATGTAATGTGGTATAATTCATTTTGTTCTTTAATGTGACTATTTTTAATTTGTACAATATGTCCTTGATATGTAAAGTACACAGCATCAGAATGATCTCATATGTACAGATCAATATTGTAAAACTAAAACTATTCATAAATGTGTGCAAGATTGACATGCCTGCAATGTATAGCTGAAAAACAGTGATCAGTAAAACAAAATTATGAGACAGAAAGCTGCATCTTAGAAAAGTCAATAAAGAGTGCTTCATGACAATTAACTAATTCATAGGAACTCCAAGTACAAATGAAATCGATTTGTCACATTCTTACACCCTTGGATAGATTTCTTTACCTACTTTACAATGCATTACCTTGCAGAGCAAATAACTTAATTGTATCAAGGTCCCAAAAATGATTTCACATAGTATGACAAAGTATATGTACTTAGATCTAGAACACTATTTAGCAGCTGTAAATCTGTGTGTTTGCATGTACTGAGTTAATTTTCATAATTTTACATTTACACTTTTTTATCAATTCTTTCAAATATTCTCCGGTCCTGATATTGGTTAAAATTTCAAAAACTCGAACGCACTATTCAGTTATCATTGTCAAAAGACAAAGGTTTAATATTTTCGTGGTATGATTTCTACAAATCCTGTTTGTTAAAATAGAATGGACACAAACATATTATCGCTTGGAATCATAAATTTATACAAACAATGTTCTTCAAATATACTGAATTTTATAGAAAATAAAATACCGGTACCCAAAACGGGCACATATATTTCACAGTAGTATATGATTCAGTGTCATGTACATGTAATATGTGCAACTGTGCATCCAAGTTTTCATGGTTTTGTTTGTTTTTATTCTTATATTTCGATATACAGTCAGTTACCAGGTGCATGAGACAACTGAATAGAATTATAAATAAAAAAATACTTACACATTGCAATTGGGATTGGTGGGGGACTACCACACCACTAGTGCTAAATGTATCTCTCGATCTCTATTTCAAAGACATCTTGTAGGGAACAGTTAAAATCTTCTCGGCCTTCGCCCCATACCACCCTGATTTCCTCATATTTCCCATTCTACGAGTAGCTATACGTGTAATACTCATCATGTCCAGATCAACCCTTTGGCTTTTCTTAAAGATTATCCCTACTTTGTTAACTGTTTTTCATCAAATTCTGAGTCTCTTGAGGTAGAATTTTCCTGAACAAGATGTTTCAAAACAAGAAGAAAAAATGCAGATTTTATTGTCTGCCATCTTGTTTACATTTTACACATTTTGTATTCTTCAATGCCGAAGAGCTCCAACAAGGAAAATAACTCGGATAGAGAAAAAAGCACATTTAGATCAACTTTATAGTGTAATAAAATGTTTATTTTTCATTTACCAATAAATGTTTTAAATGATATTTGCAAAATAACATTTCTTGAATCTAAATCTCCCTACTAGGATTTTCACATCACTTGTCAAAGTCTTTAAATATTAAGCCTAACAAGGGAGGTAACGAGGACTAATTATTCACTTTTTTGGCATCAGAAAATTAGATATTGTAAAAACTTTGTGACATACACTATTTTTTAAATAGTTTTGATTGTCATGAAGCATATAAAAAAAAGATGCACATTAACAGCTTTGCCTAGTAAATTGTTTTTTTGATATTATTGATAAATAGCAATATTCACTATAATTTATACCTTTTAGCCCCGTTTCCATGGCAACCGGGTAAACTACCATGCTTTCTTTCATATAGTCAATCTTTTCATTCATTGAAGTTTCAGTAAGAAAAAAATTAGCTGAATCCAAGACATCGCGTGGCCACGTCATTTTGATATTTAGGTAGAATTAATATTATAAGACATCAATCTTGATAAAATTTCTTTCAATAAAGACTTGTAATTATAAATGTTGCAAGAAATATATATTTTCTAAATCAAACATCGAAATACAAAATTGATTGAGTCTCTTTTTGTGGCAAGATTGCAATAAGAGTTCAACTGCAGGATTAGCATTGGATAAAATTTTACAGAATTTTCGATTTTAGTTACCTTGGCAACATCATTCATCAAAATAAAAAGAAACAAGAAAGACATTATGTACATGTATCTCAGCATAGTCTACTTGCATGCCACATTATACACTGTACATGTACTTTAATCAGAAAGATATGTAATACTATAATCCAAAACTGTATTTTAAGAAGCATTTTGAACGTATTTCACAGAAAATAGTATATTTATATTATTAAGAGTGATCATGTCAAAACGTATTAAACTTTATCAAGGCATGGAACTGTCTATTACGTAACCTTTTTCTTCTTAAAGCATTATATGGCGTATCTGAGCTGAAAAGAATATAAAAGTACGAGGTGAAGTGTAGATTTGCATATTTGCTATTTACGTTCAAAATTTTTTTTACCGATTTTGAACTTAAATATCCCCAGGGTTCTATAGAAAGATCACAATATTCTGAGGTTTTATCGTCAAAAAAATCCGGAAAAGAAACCCCCACCAGGATGGCAACGTGTTTTTTTTGGGGGGGGGGGGGAGCCACCTAAACAAATAGATCTGGGTTTGTTCAGAAAAATTTCGCAACTAATTCAGTATCCGGAGTGTTTGTGCTATTTATTCAGGTTAATAAATCCAATCTGCTTGACGACTACCGGCCTTGCATGACCCTCTTTCCACCTTGACAGCTCATCCTTGACTCCATGCCACTAAACCGGAAGTGAATCCCGCAGTATATATGGCAAAAAAAGAGACTTGGCTCCTTTATTACGGACAGATGACAAAAACTTGCTATATCGAAAACCAAATTTTAAGCTTTTCATTTTTTAAAAGACGATTTTATAGGAAACTGCTTTAAAATCCGAATGTAAAATGACTGAATATTTTTCATACATTATAAAAAAAAATATACGACACAGATATTTGAGGAACGTATCGTCTGACCTTAATACTGAGGAACGGAAGCCATTTATCTGATAGAGCGGAAAAATTCAAAAGAAACTGTGAAAATTCAAAGTACTACAAATACTACATATACCTTTGTGATGTCATTAACTTTCATCTAAAATGAAAAAAATGCATTACAGGTAAGTGAAACAACTCTCAATTTAACAATATTGAGTAACAAAAATGGAAAGTCAAATGTGATTATGGAAAGGCAAGAGCGTCAATTTTTATTTAACACTTGTAAAACCTGATGTAGCATACAAAAAACAACCTGAAATGGTCGATTATTTTGAATCTTTAATTCGTAGATCCTGGTCTTAGCAGACTCGAGGAGTTCCTTTATCTCAAAAGGCAGAGGGTAAAAACGGTGTGCTAGACTAGAACACTGTACTTCAGGTGCCTCAGATAGACAGGCATCAGGAAAGTAGATTGTGAGTCGAGGAGTTTTTAAAAAGGCGCAGAAAAATCTGCAAAACAAATGAATTTTTGGTTAGTACCAAGAATTAGAAACAACTATATACATGTAATGACGTTTGTCGTCTACGGATAGAAGATTGATCGATTGTATAAAGTTCGACTGTTTAAAGTTCTATTCGAGTATTTTTCATTCATAATCCATACCATTTTATCGGCACTTTAGGTCATTGAACAGTACTGGTGAGGGACTTTTATCTTACCAATGGTTGACGTGACATTGAACCTAGGTTTGTAAGATTTCATTCGAAGGACTCGCATCCTTCATTTTAAAATGCCGAGCTCCTAGCGAGGGAAAAGTGGCTACCATTTATATTAGATCAGTCGCGGCCGAGACTCCAACTCAGGGAGCGAGCTCTAAACTGATTGAACAGCCGTTAAGGCTATGATTAGGATAAGATACAGTTATAATTTGGACTTTCTCAATTGTTCACACCACATGCGTTTATATCATACATAGTGTCATCATTTCTTAAGTTCTATGGTCGAAACAATGACCTTGTCAGCAAATACAATTAATAATGGAGTCAAATGCTGACTGACGTTTTCATACTAATTGTTAGTCCATTATTTATATACTGGAGTGACGACGGATTTTTCCGTCATTTCTCGATTATAACAAGGAGAACACGGCGGGTATGACCGGTCGGCAGGGGATGCTTACCCCTTCTTAGCACCTGATCCCACCTCTGATATTTTAAAGGTCCCTGTTTGCTTTGCTCCTATTTTGTATTGTTTTATGGACTTTTTATCTTGAATACTGTTCATTGTCTCCATATGTTTAATTGTTCTTGTGCGGGGAGCAAGGATCCTTAAGCCACATTTGTTCGAATACCGCTCCGGGTTATTCAGATCGGTCCTTCGATTGGGTGCTGGCACGAAAACGATCCATCACTCTTTATCGTAAAAGGGAGTTTTTACAAGCCATCAATCAATTCGCAGCTTAACATGTCATCAAACAAAATTATTGAGGTGCTAGCATTAAATGGCTATCTTTCCTATAGTATACTATATGGGGTTGAGCGCCCATATTGTATCATCGATAATCGTTTCCCACTTTCATCACTTTTACTGCTTATCCATAGTAACCACGTTTGTACCAGTGCGAACTAGAAAATACTTAGTTCATACATGTAATAACTACAAACGCGATAAACAATCTTATAAACTAATAATTTTTGCATTAAACATTAAAATGTCTGTACCAGAGTTCAATCATGTATTCCGCTAGATATGTAAAGTTAGCTACTAGTAACTGGCTACTAGTAGCTGGCTACGAGAAGTATGTAAAGTTGGCTACTAGTAACTGGCTACTAGTAGCTGGCTACGACAAGCATGTAAAGTTGGCTACTAGTAACTGGCTACTAGTAAATGACTTGAACCTTATAAAAATAACCGTCTAGTATCTTTTTGTAAAATTCTGCAAACTTGGGATACAAATGTTGATATTCTTGAAGTAGCTGGAATTTTACACCGCTGATATCCACTGATAGTGTTAAAAACAATCTCTGAGCTTTTCAACATAATCTGGCACTGAAGTTACCAAGATATCGGTAGTAATGAACTCAGCTACTAGAACCATTTGTCTAGAATTATGCAATTTGGGAGACAAATGTTGATATTTTTAAAGTAGATGGTTTGTTACCTCGCTGATATCAACTGATATTGTTGATAAAAATAATCTCTAAGATATTCCACATGATCTGGCAGTAAAGTTACCAAGATATCATTAGTAATGAACTCAGCTACTGGTACCTTTTGTTTCAAATTATGCTTTTTTTTTGGAGACAAATGTTGATAATTTTGAAGTAGCTGGTTTATTACCTCGCTGATATCCACTAATTTTGTTGATAAAAATAATCTCTAAGATATTCCACATGATCTGGCAGTGAAGTTACCAAGATATCGTTAGTAATGAACTCAGCTACTAGTACCTGTTGTTTCAAATTATGCTATTTTTGGAGACAAATGCTGATATTTTTTAAGTTGCTGGTTTGTTACCTCGCTGATATCAACTGATATTGCTGATAAAACTAATTTCTAGGATATTCCACATGATCTGGCAGTAAAGATACAAAGATATCATTAGTAATGAACTCAGCAACTGGTACCTATTGTTTCAAATTATGCTTTTTTTTGGAGACAAATGTTGATAATTTTGAAGTAGCTGGTTTATTACCTGTCTGATATCAACTGATATTGTTGATAAAAATAATCCCTAAGATATTCCACATGATCTGGCAGTAAAGTTACCAAGATATCATTAGTAATGAACTCAGCTACTGGTACCTATTGTTTCAAATTATGCTTTTTTTTGGAGACAAATGTTGATAATTTTGAAGTAGCTGGTTTATTACCTGTCTGATATCAACTGATATTGTTGATAAAAATAATCCCTAAGATATTCCACATGATCTGGCAGTAAAGTTACCAAGATATCATTAGTAATGAACTCAGCTACTGGTACCTATTGTTTCAAATTATGCTTTTTTTTTGGAGACAAATGTTGATAATTTTGAAGTAGCTGGTTTATTACCTGGCTGATATCAACTGATATTGCTGATAAAAATAATCTTTAAGGTATTCCACATGATCTGGCAGTAAGGTTACCAAGATATCGTTAGTAATGAACTCAGCTACTTGTACCTTTTGTTTCAAATTATGCTATTTTTTGAAGATAAATGTTGATAATTTTGAAGTAGCTGGTTTGTTACCTCGCTGATATAAACTGATATTGCTGATAAAAATAATCTCTAAGATATTTTACATGATTTAGCAGTAAAGTTTCCAAGATATTGTTAGTAATGAACTCAGCTACTGGTACCTTTTGTTTCAAATTATGCTATTTTTGGAGACAAATGTTGATATTTTTGAAGTAGCTGGTTTGTTACCTCGCTGAAATCAACTGATATATCTGATAAAAATAATCTCTAAGATATTCCACATGATCTTGCAGTAAAGTTACCAAGATATCGTTAGTAATGAACTCAGCTACTGGTACCTTTTGTTTCAAATTATGCTATTTTTGGAGACAAATGTTGATACTCTTGAAGTAGCTGGATTTTTACACCGCTGATATCCACTAATTTTGTTGATAAAAATATTCTCTAAGATATTCCACATGATCTGGCAGTGAAGTTACCAAGATATCGTTAGTAATGAACCCAGCTACTGATACCTTTTGTTTCCCATTATGCTATTTTTGGAGACAAATGTTGATATTTTTGAAGTAGCTGGTTTGTTACCTCGCTGATATCAGCTGATATTGCTGATTAACATAATCTCTAAGATATTCCACATGATCTGGCAGTAAAGTTACCAAGATATCGTTAGTAATGAATTCAGCTACTGGTACCTTTTGTTTCATATTATGCTATTTTTGGAGACAAATGTTGATACTCTTGAAGTAGCTGGATTTTTACACCGTTGATATCCACTAATTTTGTTGATAAAAACGATCTCTGTTCTTTTTCAATATGATTTAGTGCTGATGTTACTAAGATATCGTTAGCAATAAACTCAGCTACTAGCACCTTTTGTTTAAAATTATTCAATTTCTGGATACAAATACATGTACAAGGAAAAAACATCTCATGTTTGTAAAAAATTGTCTGCTTCCGGGGGCTTCACCCCGGACTCTAGCTAGGGCCTTGAAGAAGTCTCCGAAAAATCCATTCTGGCGGTCACGTGACCCCTTCCGCAGCGTTCTGTCGCAAAAGTTGAAAGATTTTTCTGATTTTTAGCTCTACTGGTCAGAGACCAGAAGAGCTTATGCGATAGTAATGCGTCCGGCGTCCGTCCGTCTGTCTGTCTGTCCGTCTGTCCGTCTGTCTGTAAACAATTTTTCAAAATGCTACTCCTCCTACAGTTTTGGTCTAATTTCAATATAACTTGGCACACTTGTAGACTACACTAAGATACATAATTCTGTGTATCGGTTTTTGATTTCGGTGAACGGTGTTGCCGTGGTTACTAAAAATAGAAATTTCTGTGAAATTCTTTCAAAATGCTACTCCTCCTACAGTTTTGGTCTCAATTCAGTATAACTTGGCACACAAGTAGACTACACTAAAATACATAATTCTGTTTATCGGTTTTTGATTTCGATAAACGGTGTTGCCGTGGTTACTAAAAATAGAAATTTCTGTGAAATTCTTTCAAAATGCTTCTCCTCCTACAGTTTTGGTCTCAATTCAGTATAACTTGGCACACAAGTAGAATACACTAAGATACATAATTCTGTGTATCGGTTTTTGATTTCGATGAACGGTGTTGCCGTGGTTACTAAAAAATAGAAATTTCTGTGAAATTCTTTCAAAATGCTACTCCTCCTACAGTTTTGGTCTAATTCAGTATAACTTGGCACACAAGTAGACCATACTAAGATACATAATTCTGTGTATTGGTTTTTGATTTCGATGAACGGTGTTGCCATGGTTACTAAAAATAGAAATTTCTGTGAAATTCTTTCAAAATGCTACTCCTCCTACAGTTTTGGTCTGATTTCAGTATAACTTGGCACACAAGTAGAATACACTAAGATACATAATTCTGTATATCGGTTTTTGATTTCGATGAATGGTGTTGCCGTGGTTACTAAAAATAGAAATTTCTGTGAAATTCTTTCAAAATGCTACTCCTCCTACAGTTTTGATCTGATTTCAGTATAACTTGGCACACAAGTAGAATACACTAAAATACATAATCTGTGTATTGGTTTTTGATTTCGATGAACGGTGTTGCCGTGGTTACTAAAAATAGAAATTTCTGTGAAATTCTTTCAAAATGCTACTCCTCCTACAGTTTAGGTCTGATTTCAGTATAACTTGGCACACAAGTAGACTATACTAAAATACATAATTCTGTGTATTGGTTTTTGATTTCGATGAACGGTGTTGCCATGGTTACTAAAAATAGAAATTTCTGTGAAATTCTTTCAAAATGCTACTCCTCCTACAGTTTTGGTCTGATTTCAGTATAACTTGGCACACAAGTAGAATACACTAAGATACATAATTCTGTATATCGGTTTTTGATTTCGATGAACAGTGTTGCCGTGGTTACTAAAAATAGAAATTTCTGTGAAATTCTTTCAAAATGCTACTCCTCCTACAGTTTTGGTCTGATTTCAGTATAACTTGGCACACAAGTAGACTACACTAAAATACATAATTCTGTGCATCGGTTTTTGATTTCGATGAACTGTGTTGCCGTGGTTACTAAAAATAGAAATTTCTGTGAAATTCTTTCAAAATGCTACT